GCTTGAACCCAGCACCCACACATCCAGCATGAGCCACAGTTCCCCAGGCAGGGTGGACCTCCCGCAACCAGGACCGGGGTGGGGGGGGACTTACCCGCTGTGCTCCAGCCTTGGGTCTTACATGGAAGGAGAGGGACCTAGGGACCATGGCGTGGTCTCAACCCTGGCCACCGTGGTGCCCTGGTCTCAACCCTGACCTAACTCTAGGCTTCATGGGACGTCTGCCAGCTCCGGAGGCTTCCTTCTGCCACTTGCTTTTGCAGGGAGCACCATCAATCCTCTCGCCCCCCCTAAGGTATGTGGCCCTGGCAGGAGGGTGTCTGAGTTCCCCAAGGCTGAGAAGGAACTGGGGACCTGGATGCCAGCCCTCTGGGAATCCACCAGTGGTGACACGATGACACCCAACAGGAGCCAGGCCCCACGGAACAGGGCACCAGGGCTGGCCTGCAGAGACAGGAGTGTCTTCCCAGTGCAGCCAGGATCTGCTGCTCCATGTCACCCCAGAGCTCGTGACGTCTGCTGCAGCCTGTGTCGGAACACAGGGTATTAAGTGTCCTATGGAAAAGGGATATTCCAGATAGAAATCATTCTAGACAGAAATGATGATCGAGCACCTACTATGTGCCAGGCACTGTGCCAGGCACGAGACACCGAGGGAACAAAACCACCCACACAGTCCCTGTGCTCCTAGAACCTCACCGGGGAGGCAGGCACAAGTAAACAACCAACAACAAATAATTACAAATTGGCCTAAGTGCTTCGAAGACAGGAAAGTGTAATTAGCCTAGGTTCACCTCTCCCTGGCCCCAGAGGCCTACCCTCGTGCTGGAACACCCGCGCCTGCCTGGCCTCCCCAGCACACTGGGGCTGAGCACCTGGCATGGTGAGGGCGTGGACAAGCTCCCAGAACCTTTGCTGAACCAAAGTGGGAGAAATTGTTAATTAAAATGATTTCATTCAAAAGCCACCCGGGTGCTGATACAACCTAATTTTATAAGCCACTGAGGCCCAAAGAAGCCAAATATTGGGCCCCAAACCACACAGCTGGTAAGCAGCAGGGGCCAGGCCAGAATCCGGATCTCCTGTCGGCAGGTCCTGCCACCGCCTCTGTCTGCAACCCCCTGGTCTGTCCACAGCCTCCGGGAGTCTGCAGCCTCCAGCCCGCCCCAGGCGCCGTCCTTGCCGGTCAGCGCCGTCCAGCAGAAGCGCTTGTGACGATGGAGATGTCCGTGTCTGAGCCGCCACACCGCGTGCAGCCGCTCAGGGGGCAAGGAAAGAGGGCCCGTGTGGTGGGCGTGGGAGGGGCCGTGCAGAGGCAGGCAACACCAGCAGAGGATCTTGCTTGACTTTCCAAGGAACCCTCCAGACCTTAACCCATAATCAGCGCCTGGGGAGCCCTAGAGGATTTTAGACAGTAACGTGGTGCTTGATGGCGCTGGGCTCGAAAGGAGGGCCTGCTCCGCGGAGCCCCGGGCACGGCTGGTTATCCTGGCTCTCGTGATCATCATGCCCGGGAAGTCTCTCGTCCCTCAGCGCTGCCACCATCTAGCCTGAAACACCCCCGCACCGCCCAGCACTTCCTCCTCTTCTGAGCCTCTGCTCGCTGCCCCTCTGGAAGGCGTCCAGTCTCCACTGGTTTCATGCCTCTTCCCTCATCTCCACAGCCTGCCTGGCGTGTGCAGGCTTAATAGGCACCGTGAAGTTTCTCCATCTTTGCTGCTAGTTCCCCCTTAACCTTCCCAAATCTACTCCCAGCTCCCCAATCCCCAGCTGTGGGGCCCTCAGAAATTCCTCTCACACAGCCACAGGCTGCTCGAAGGCCGCCAACCCTTGGACTGGATCATCCCCTTCCCAGGACTTGACCCCTGGCAGCACCTCCCTCCTGCAGCCTCAGGACCGGTCTGCTCAAAGGGACGGTCCAGTAAAGGGAGGTCAGAATTTCCAGCCTCCTCAGGGGGAGGGCCCTGACCCAGGTGGGGACCGCATTTAGGAGGGAAGAGGAGAGACGGATAGAAAACTGAGCGCGTTAATCTGGGAAGACTTCCTGGAGGCGAGGCCCAGCCTTCTCATCAGGCCCCGGAGTGAGGCTGAGATTCCCCTGCCTGGAGAGTCCTGCCTATCTTCCCAAGAGCCACATCCCGCCCAGAGCCCGAACCGGGCTGGGATGTGCTCACGGGAACATTCACCCCGCAACTATGTGTTGCTGTCCTGCCTTCCTCCAGGCCTACTGGCTTCACACGCCAGGCTCCAGGCCAAGCGGGGCAGGGCACAGGGACTGAAACTGTGACACAGGAATGCCATTCCCATCAGGCCATCCCGTGACGGTGAGGCATCCTAGTCGCCCTTCCTCCCCCGGGGCGGAGAGATGGCAGGGCCCCAGGCTAGGACTCTGAGTGGGCAGGGCGCTCCGAGGGAGGCGAGCTGCAGAGGTGGATGAGAATGAAAGGAGACAGGTCAGAGGCCGGGAGGAAGGATGCAGAGAGAGAAATAGAAGGAAAGAAGAAGCAGAGAGAGTGAAAACTCCCCTTTGCTTATTTGAGGACGCATTCAAGAGCCTTCTGGGCATCCCTGCCCAAGCCTCCCCCTTCCTTACCGGGCCCTTTTCCTGCCTCTGCATTTCTCTGACTCCCAGCTGGTCAGGGCTACGTCCTGCTGCCAGTCACAGGGAGCCAGGGGCCAAAGGGCAGGCTTGAGGTGGAGGGAGGGGTCTGAGGTTTCTGTCTCCAGAGCATGTAAGGACCAGCCAGGACAGGCTTCCAGAATCCCAAGAGCACAAGACACCCAGCTGCTGTCCCCAGCTGGGCTGACCCAAGCTCAACCCTGAGCAGAAGCGCGAGCAGGGTTGTGTGTGAGTGCGTCTGGGCGGAGTTGAGACTGTCCAGATACCGAAACTTCCCAGAAGATGGAAAATTTTGCCCCCCCTCCACCTTCCATCCCCCAACCCCTGCCACGCCTCCTGCTCCCCTGGGTGGGGGCTTCAGGCTCCACATCCGTCCTCAGTGAGGGTGGAATGACAGGCCTGTACAGTTGACCCCCAAGAATGCCAGCTCGGGGGAGGGAAGCATGATGGCGGTAAGGGTGGGCAGGAAAGTGGGTGCTTCGTGAAGTGTGTTTGGGGCTCTTTTGTTGCTCTTCCTGTTTGGCAGCCAGAGCAGTAACCACCAAAGACAGCTGCACCCCAGGGAGACTGCCAGGGCAGAGAGGAAGCAGCAAGCTGACCCACGTCCCACCCACCACCAGAGGCTCAACCAAGCGTGCCCACCGTGCCGCAAAGAGGGCAGCCCCTCCACACACCCCCACCCCGCAAGAAAGCCACCTTGCTCAGGCTCCAGGCGCGGCCTTGCAATGCCAGGTCGCGGCTCAGAGGCTCACTGAGGTCAGCGGAAGGAAGAAGGAGACGGAGTCTTAAGTTACCCAGAGGCATCGTTGAGAACCGGGCATCCAACGTATAAAAGCCCGGGCACGGGCCAGAGCCCCGGGTACTAGGAAGACAGCCTGGCTTCCGATCCCACCGCCCTTCCCGGCAGCCACGGGCTCCACGGCCAAGATAAGAGAAAGGGTTCAAGTCCATTACTGATAAGTTGCCTGACCTTGGACTAGGAACTTAGCTCCTCGGCGCCCAGCGTGCCCCTCTGTAAGCCAGGACTGAGGGAAATTTAGCGTCTGCCTCAGACGGTGGCTGCCATGAGGGCTGAGGCTGCTCCTGGCTGCAGAGCATTCAGGACATACTTGACGAACGTGCTGGCCCTGGCAGAACCCAGCGCTGTTGACAGCCCTCCCCACCCGGCACACAGGGTGGGAAGGTTGGAGGCGGTCAGGGTGCTGAGTTGGACCAAGGCCACTCAGCTACCAGGTGAGGGGAGAGACAGTGGAGGGTGGAGTGGGCCAAGGAGTGGGCCTGAACGGGGGAGGGACAGCTCGCAGACTCCGTGGACACCGTGACAGGAACTGATCACCAGAGCACCTGGTCAACCCACCCCTGGCATCAGAGCCTGGGACACAGCCTCAGGAAGTCTGTGGTCTCAGGACGGGTGCCTGTGCCCAGGGAGGCGGAAATGGCCACTACAGGAAAGAGATGAAGGAGGGGGACGAAGGGGCAGCGCCCACGCCCAGAGCCCTGGGGACAGTGTCCATCGCCCCCACCAACTCTGGCTGCGATGGCAGCCCAGGTCTTTGCCCCCACGGACGGAGGGCTGTGTGCCCCGCAGGTGCCCTGCACGCCACCTCCTGGGAGACCAGTGTTTTCAACCCTGTTTACCAGCGAGGGGAGAAGTCTGAGTCTTGAACCCAAGTCTCTCCTGCCCAAAGCCAAGAGCCCTTGACATCTATTTCCCCTCTAGCTAGACAATGTAAGGCACATAGTAGGTGCTCAATAAATGGCAGCTGGGAGGAAGGCAGGAAAGATGGGAGAGCGGAAGGAAGAGAGGGAGGGAGGCCAGGGAGACTCTTTGGTACCGCCAGAAAATAATAAATAATAAAGGTGCTGTTTTCTAACGCCAGGCGGCCGTGGCGTCCTGGGGGTAGGGGTGGGGGGTGCAGAGGAGGGACCTCAACTCAGGGCCGCGCTTGCCTCATCCTCTCCAGAAGAATGCGAGCCGGCTACGTCAGCCGTCAGGTATGCGCGAGGGCTGCGGTGAGAGGTGACCTTGCTCCCCTCTCTCTTCTCTTCTCCTTCCCTGCTGAAATGCCCGTCTTTGGGCTGCCTCCCCGCCCCCACCCAACCTGCCAACCAGCCCAGTCTTGTCCCTTCCCTGGATCCAGGCCTGGCTGGGTTGGGGGGACCTGTGGACACCCCCTCCTTCGAGCAGATCCCAGCCCTGGGAAGAAGCTGGGTCGTGGTGCCGGGGGCGGGGCGGCGCCCCGTCATCTAACAGGTTGGTCGGCCTGGAGCGCCCCGCCTCCTGCAGCTAATGAGCACTGTACAACAGGTGTTTGCGCCTCAGTCCCCAGCCTGTCCTGCCTGCGACTGGAGCCAGCTGCCTGCCACTCCTCCGAGGCTCCCTTGCTCATCCCGGCGCCCTCCGCTCCTGGGCCCGGGGGCCGCGATGAGCTGCCGCTCCTGCGTTGTTGGCTTCAGCAGCCTCAGCAGCTGTGAAGCGACCCCAGCAGGCAGCCCCTGGCCCGGGACTTCGGGATGGGGCAGCTGCGGGGCCCCCGGGCCGAGCTTCAGCTCCCGCAGCCTGACAGGCTGCCGGCCGGCTGGCACCATCCCCAAGGTGACCGTGAACACCAGCCTGCTGGTGCCCCTGGACCTCAAGGTGGACCCGACCATCCAGCAGCAGAAGAACCAGGAGAAGGAGGAGATGAAGGTCCTCAATGATAGATTCGCCTCCCTGATTGGCAAGGTGAGCAGAAGCGGGAGAAGTCAGGCCTGGGCAGGTGGCTGAGCTCTGATTTCCTGAGCATCGGGCCCCACCCCTGCCTCCAGCCAATGGGGAATTGGTGTTGCTAACTAGGCAGGCTGGCTCGGAGCAGAGATATGGGGAGGGCAGTCCCCGAGCCGCCTGGATGAGGGCAGTAAGGGAACCCCAGATGGATAACAACCTGCTGTGTGGTCTGAAGTCACTCCCCCGGGTGGGGACGTCAGGGAGCTCTGTGGCCAAGGGGGAGCCCCCGGGTCGGAATGGCTGGCGGAGGCACCGTCTGCAACCCCACTCCAAGGCGGGTGGACAGTGGAGACGGCCTCTCAAGGGTCATCCTTCTATCTAAGCCTCGGCCACACTCAGCTTCCCGGACTCAAAACACAGATAATGCCAGGGGGTGTGTGGCCGCCAGAAGGAGGCTGGGGAGCAGGGATGCAGCTTACGTCAGGAGATAGGAATGCAGGGGGTGAGTTGCCAGCCCAGCTTCCTGTACCCACCTGAGTAGCAGGAGTGAGTTCCTGCACCCAGACCTCCTGGGCCCACTACCGTGGCCAGCACGCTGGGCTGGAGCACTCACGTCCATCTCTGCCCAAGGCAAGGGCTTTAAGAGTTGCAAGGAGCCCTGTCCACTTCCCAAATCTGCTGCTCATCCCCTCCTCCAGGAAGCCTCCCCTGACCAGCCCTCCTGCCCTGCCAGGAACAGCAGTGATGACAGTAACTTCTGCCTCTGATTCGTTGCTGGATGTTTATGTATTTCTGTTTCCCTCTCATCCTTATGAAAGAACTGACTTTTGTGCCCACTTTCCAGCTGAGTATCATTGGGCCTTACTGTCCCAGTCAGCCAGAGCCCGTCCTCCCTGGCCCAGCCCCTCTCTGCAGCCGGCTCGCCTGCTCTGTGCTCCTTTGCAGGTTGCTAGTGGCCCCCGAGGTGGGCGCTCGCAGTGGGGCAGAGAGCAGGGAGTTCCCGTCTCTGCCGGCCTTGACAGATGAGTGTCGCTTACCCACAGCCGCACTCCCCTGAGACTGAGGCCCAGAGGCTAGGCCCTTGCCTAAGGTCCCGACAGTCGGGACATGAACTCAGGCCTGTGAGGCACACCAGCGGTCCCCGGGGTAGGGGACATTTCTTTTCTTCCCCTATCATGTGCCTAGACCAGTATTTGTCCCCACACTTGGGGTGCCCTGGGTGGGAGGACGCAGAGGGGAAGTGACAGTGGGGGCACAACTGCCTGGGCTGCTCAGAGCCCCTCACTGGCCTGGGAGGCAGGTCTCTGCAGAGCCCCCCCCCTTTCCAAGCCGGGTTAACCCCTTAAAAGGAAGGCTTCCCTGAGCTGTGTGATTCTGTCCAGATGGGTGGCTTTTCTCCCAGGGCTGCCATCACCTGGGCCTCTCCATGGCGCAGGAGAGGTGCGTGGGCATAAGGGGTTGGGGTCCTGGCCTGAGGCCAGGGTTACGGCCTCGGGGGTCTTTAGCAGAACTGGAGCCTCCCAACCCTCAAGCCTTGGCCTGGAGACAGGTGCTCCACAGGGTGGGTCAACAGGACCCATGGGTGCCAGTTCTCTGGGGACCCTGACGGCCAGGGAGCCGCCTGAGGAGTCCCACCCGATCCACCAGTGCTAAGGTCTGTCAGCGCGTGTCCTCCAGGTGTCCTGGGAAAGAGCAAACAGGAAGAACAAAATCTAGGCGCGAATCCTGCCCCACCTCTGGCCACCGTGTCATCTCAGGCAAACTGTCTAGCCTCTCTGAGCAGTGTGATGGGCTTGTCAGAATCAAATGGGATGAGTTTTTGAAAAGCACGTAGATTACACCTGGTGGACGTGACGGCTCTGCTGCTGTCTGGAAAGCAGAAAGTGCGACAAGTGGGCCTGGCCTCAGGAGCTCCAAACACCCAGCTGGCCCAGGAGCATGAGGAGGCGGGAGGGCTATGCTGGGAGGGGGGTGGGGGAGCTTCAGAGTTGGGGGCGCAGCCCAGGGCTGGGGAGAGGTGTAGGGGCCCAGGGGCCGGAGGCCCTACCAGTGCAGGGGTGCGGCTCCAGGTAGAGGAAGGACACCCTCCAGCTCTGACTGTGCTGGAGGAGGAGGAGTTGGAGGGAGACAAAGAGGGTGGCAGCAGGATACCCAGGACCACGCAGGGGCCCTGGGACAATGTTGGCTCTTCGACCTGCAGCTGTGTTTCCTTGGGCAAGACACCTACCCTCTCTGCACTCAGATTCCACCTCCCTGCCCACTCTGCTCTGAGGGTAGCCCTGAGTTCATGCCAGTTTAAGAGCTGGCACTGCTGCAGCCAGGAGACGGGGGGAGATGAGCAGAGGCAGCGGTGGAAGAAGTGGAGAGAGGCGCGGAGAGGGCCATGGCCACATCCACAGAATGGGCGGGGTAAGAGGATCGGCTGCTTGCTATCGGCCTAAGGAGGTTTGGAGGGGGCGGCCAAGAAGGCAATGAAATGCCTGGAGCCAGAGGGATGGGTACAGTGTCTTCCTCTGGGCCTGGATGGCCTCTGGAAGTCACTGGAGCCATCCCCCTGCCCCAGCAGCCCTTCCTGGCAGAGCCTGAGGCCACCTGGTTACAGCCAACTTCTGCCTGTCAGGGCCCCACCTGAGTAAGAGGACCAGCCTGCCCCTGGGTTGTGGCCCTGGGTTAGGGCCCTGAGCCTGGAGGTGGTCGGCCTCCTGCTGGAGGGGGCTCCATTCTCTCCAACATGCGTGTCCCTTCCCGCCCTGCTGTGGGCCTGCTTCCGTGGGTGGCCCAGAGTCAGGTCCAGTCAGTTCTGCGTTTCTGGGCCTTGGTTTCCTCATCCGTAAAATTGGGAGGAAGATGGATGTTTGCCGCCCGTCTTAGAGCTGCCAAGTCCGATCCGTGGGTCAGAAAAGGAGGAAGGGGAACAAGAGGCAAAGACTCAAAGCCTTGACAGGCGAGAGGCAATTAACCTGGCACCTCACAGGGCGCAGGGATTACCGGCCCTCCCTAGGCTTTGTTCCGAGGGAGGAGACCTTCCCCGGAGAAGGTCCTGGGTGGGGGATGACTTTCTATCCCCACCCACTGAAACAAGCCGCTCCCCCAAGGACAGTGGGGGGAGGCTGCCCCGGATCCCCCACAACCGAAAGTGCCCCCTGTCTGAACTGGTTGCCAAAACCATACTGTGTGGGCACCGGCCAGGGCCGCAGCAGCGGGGGTCGAGGCTACGCTAAGGAAAGGACTTCCCATTGTGAAGGATTTTTTGGTTGCTTGTGGGTGGAGGAAGGAGCCTCACATCGTTCTTCTCACCCCACCCTCAGTGTAAACATGGGGTTCCTGCTTGTCAAAACGGAGGTAAGGTGGGGTGAACAGATACCTCCTCCCCCCTGCCCCCGCCCCCCGCGCTACCATCCCTTTTCACACAAAGCAGGACAGACACCCTCTTGACCTCCGTCCCTACTGAACCTGTTTGACTGACTACAGCACCATGTCGACGTCAAGCTGGGCTTCCATCAGAGCTTACCAGCCAGCACCCACGGGAGCTGCGGGGGGCTCAGCCACAGAGGCCTCATCTAGTGAGGAGGCCTCATCCTGCTGGTGTTATCTGCTGCGAACGTCCAAGGGGATTTCCAGTGGCATCAGAGTAGCTCAGGAAAGCCTGGGGGAGTGGGGAGGGCAGGACAGAGAGAGGACAGCCCCCCTGGCAGGCACACTCAGGAGCCTGTGACAGACCATCAGGTGGGCCTGTCTAGGTAGCTCCGGCACCAAGTTGCCGTTACCCTGGACATGGCACTTGGCACCCTAGGCCACCATTTCCTCTGTAAGTGACAAGGACTGACCATCTGATCCCAAAGGCTCCTGGCTGTGATTTGGGAAGCTCACGCCAGCCATGGAGGAGGCTCTGCTGTGGTCACAGGGGAGACCGCTGGGCTGTTGTCACAGCATCCTCATGACAACAGGCCAACACTGTCCAGGAGTCTGGCCCTGTCGCCCCTTCTGCCTCTGGCCTACCCACATCCTGGGCATCAGGAGATGGGGGATCACAAAAAGGGGTGCAACTGGCTGCCCGTCTTCCCAGGGAGATGATAGGGCAGCTCAGGTGAGGAACAGATAAAGTGGGGCCTCGTGCTGGAGGAAAGAGGGGCGTCTTGGAGGGTTGCCCAGGAAGGGACCGGGAGGAGCTCTGGGGAGGATCTGGAATGGCAGAAAGGACAGTGCCTGAGAGAAGCTGCAATCTGGAGTGATGAGGGCAGAGCTGGGTTGGGCCGGCCCCCAGGGACCCTGATGAACGTGGGCCTGGGAGCCACGTAGAAGTCGGCAGGGAACCTGAAGAGGGAGCATTTTAGAGGAGCCTCTGGGTCTACAGCACCCCCCCCCAGTCTTTATCCTCAGGGCAAAACTGGCTCTAACTAGAGGCAGAAGTGACCCAGGACAGGCAGGTGGACCCCAAGGCCACAGTGACACCAGCTGCAGACAGGAGGCACGGACTGCGACTTAAAAGATTCTAAACGCCAAGTGCCTGGACTCCAGGCCCCGTGCTAGCTGCGTTCTTGATGAGGTTCAGAGGTTAACACTAGTTAACCTCTCCGCGCCTGGCTTCCTCACCTGTGACGTGCAGCTGCCCCGCGGGGCGGCCGGGGAACCTGGACGAGTGCGAGCCAGCAGGGAGCAGGCACACGGCGGGGCTGCAGAAGCTTGTGCGATTGTTACTGCTCCAAAGTGCATCCCAGGTTCTCCCCTCAACAGCCTTTGGAAGCCTGCAGAGTGGGTGATATCATCCGCAGCTGCTCGCTGGGGAAACTGAGGCTTGGAGAGGCTACAAGTCCAGGGTTGTCAGGAGGATTAGCATTTAAAACCAACCAGGTCCTAACCTGCTGAGTTTCCATGCCAAGATGAGACCAGGCTTGTCGAGGGGGGGGAGGGGACCAACGGGCCTCTGACACCCCACGTTCCCTGGGGTCTCCCACCCAAGCCCCAGGCAGGCGTGCAGAGCCTGTCACATCGCTGGCACACTCATCCCCGTTCCCCTTCCCTTGTCTCGCTGGCCCTGGCCCTGCTCCACGTCCGGGAAACCTTTGCTAATTGGCCCCACCTCCCTCCGATTCCCTCTTTATCGCACCATCTTCAGTTTAAACAGTCAGTCATTGGAAATGTGGTCTGAAGGCTGCTGAGTGAGGCCCAGCGGGGTGTGTGCGAGCAGATGAGCAGCCACTTCCCAGAGCAGCCCCCGCGGGGCTGGGAGCCTGGGCCCCAGCCTGGCCCGCTCACCGCTGCCCTCCTGCCCATCCAGGTGCAAGCTCTGGAACAGCGCAACCAGCTGCTGGAGACCCGCTGGCGCTTCCTGCAGACCCAGGAGTCGGCCCCCTTCGATCTGGGGCACCTGTATGAGGATCACCAGTGTCGGCTCCAGGAGGAGCTGCGGAAAGTGAGCCAGGAGCGGGGACAGCTGGAGGCCAACCTGCTGCAGGTGCTCCAGAAGGTGGAAGAGTTTCGAATCAGGTCAGTGTCCCTGTGGGAGCCGAGGGCAGGGATAGAGGGTGGGGATCAAGCTGTACCCAGTGCGAGGTCCAGGGGGCCTCCCCAGGCGGAAAAAGAGGAACCTTCTTTAAAGAATGGTCTTTTTGTCCAGGCATATTTATTCTAAATAGTGTGGCAGTAACCCCACAGCCGCCGCCACCCCCACGGTGACTTGCAATGAAGTCAATCCTACGCTAGCTCACAGTGAAGCCATGTGCTACCCCTGAGCACTACCCCTGTCTCCTCCTTGTACCCATAAATACACTTGTTCTCGCCCGCATGTCCAGCTGGCGACACTCAAAGGGTCAGAGAAGGCAGAAATGGACGGGAGTTTTGGATTCGCCTTTCGTGGGGAAGCTGTCACTTCCTGAATGAACAGATGGGCTCGTGCTTCGGATCTTGCTTGGGATTTTTTATCTTGTTTGTGCTAGAAAGGGGAGGGACCAGAGTGCAGGCAGGGGACCCAAAAAACCTGGGTTTTGTTTGAATAAAGAAGCAATCCCTTGTAGGTAATGCACGGCAGATCTCGATGGTCAACCTGGAAACTAGCAATGTGAGGAACATGACCCCAGCCTGCAAGAAGTCTTTACACCTTAGCGGGACAGACAGATGGACAAGCAACTGGCAGGCAGTGCAGCTCCGTGGTTAAGGGCTAGGTGGTGGGGTCAGTCTGCTGGGATGCTGGGATCTGAGCAGTGGCTCAGCAAGCCCGATAACTCTCCAGGATGCTCACATAGGAAGCTGTTCCCCTCTCTGGGGGCCTCAGTTTCCCCATTTGTGAATCTGATTGGAACTTCCCAGCCAACAGATCAGATCTGCAACCCTGGCCTCCGCTGATCTTAATGGTGGCGCCCCTCCCTGGCCTAGGGACCACCTGTCCCCCAGGCCTGCCCACCGAGTCCTAGGGAAACACACAGGGAATCTGACAGCATATAGTGAGCTGCCCCACTTAGACACCTGACCGAGACGAGGGAGACCATGTCCACTCCCCAGATTTCACCAATACAGAGAAGGTCTCTGACGCTCAAAGGGTCAGAGAAAAGCAGAGCTGGACGGGGGCATTGGATCTCCCCTTCATAGGGAAGGAAAGAGAGACCTGTGGAGGGCAGGGGCTTGTCCCCAGGAATACAGCCATGCGTGCTAGGTCCCTGTCCTCACCACAGGGTGCCCCACGCCAGCCTGCTCCTGTGAGCCCACCACGTCGCCTCCACGGAGGCACTTTGTCACTGGAAGTCCTGCACAAACACTACTTGCTGCTGCAATCTGCCTCAGCTCCTGCTTTGGCCTGCTGCCTGGTTTCCAACTGCTGCCTGAGTTTACTGTTCAGACTCAGGATCTCTCTTCCTCCCTGGGGGTAGGAGCCCACCCACATTGAGGGAGGATAGGCCGAGAGCCTCTGGGTCTGCAGACCAGAGACAGAGAAGCTCCCACTTGGCTGTGCAGCATCTGGGGCCCCCAAGTGCCGGGAGACGCCAGGCCAAGCCCTGCCAGGGAGGGGTGTGCCCTGCCTCTGCAAGGCCGATGAGATCAGCTTCACTCCTAGAAATAAACAAGTGGGGGGGGGGGGGAGGGCGGGTGTGACAGCCAAAAAGGTCCGAGAATGAGAACGGGTTTGGGAGCTGGTGGCTGGCAGACGGGTAGAGGACTGGGGGTGGAACAGGGGAGATGGTATCACTTAAGCCTTTAAAGGGATGGAGACTTCCTCCAAAAGCTTTGATGTAGCAGGGACCCCTGGGATCAGCCAACTAACCTTCTATTTACTGAGGATAAAGCAGAGGCCCAGCAAGGGGAGACAACTTGCCCAGGGCCACCCAGCAAGGGACTCAAGAATGCTTCGTACAGTTGTGAGAGCTGTTCGCAGCACAAAAGCATCTGACTGAGGGGTGCACTGGAGCTGAAACCTGGGGGAGCCGATGAGAAGGGAGGAGCAAAGGCTACCCGGGGGCTGGAGGGGGCAGAGGGGGATAAGGAGGAGGCTGGGCACCTCAGAGGACCCCACTGGACAGCTCTCCCCGAGGTCCAGCCCCGAGCAAGCAGAACTCTGCTATGGTGCGGGGGAGTGGGGAGGCTCAACTAATAAGTCCCATGGTGAGGACCAGTCCCCAGACCCCTGTCCCCTGGTCAGGGAATTCCTCAGAGCCCTGGTTCTAGGGTAAGCCTGTGGAAGTGAGCCCAGCCCTGAGGACCCGGGGCTGGCAGGCAGAGAACCAGAGCTCTCTCTGCAGTGGGCCTTCTCCATGCTCTTTGGAAATGCTGGGGGGCTGAGCAGAAGGCCCCGGGCCATGCCTGGGGTGGGAGCTCACAGCGCTGACGATGATACAGTAACCGCTCTAGTGGGCCTGTGGTAAATACTTCACGTGTTCTCGTATTTTACCCTCACTGTTACCATGACTGAGGGGCACTCAAGGGTCTGGCCCAAGGTCTCGCAGCTGGTCAGCAAGGAAACCAGGACATGAGGCCAAGTCAAGTCATGAGACTCTGGCACCCCACACTTAACCAGCACAGCACCCCAGCTGGAAACACGCCCCCGTCTCCATTTCCTCGTTTGTAAAAAGGGGGCAGCAGGACCGCTCAGCTGAGGGCTCAGGGTCACAGATGGGGTGCAGGTAAAGCTTTGGGGGCATTCTGTTGGCCCAAGCAGTCCTCTGACTGCAGAAGAGTCACCACCCACCTCGAGCCCCCCACAACCTGCATCCTGTTTGGACGCCTGGAAACCGAGGAGAGTGTGTGCTGAGCACACCGCCTTTCAGAGCCCCAGGTGCCCTCTGGCTCTCCCCCCACCCTAGGCCCCGGCCTGCTCCCTCAGCCACTCGGGCAGCTGCTGGAGAAGAAGGCCCGAGGGGTGGCAGGCCCACCGGCTGGCTGACGTGGGCGATGGTGACGCTGCCCCTGCGGTGAGGTCAGGGACTGGGGCAGACGGGCGACTGTAATTAGAGCCGCTGTGATTCAGGCATTCCCTAGAAAGGGGTTAGAAAACAGGAAGGCGCAGGAGCCCCAGCGCCACTGGGGCAGGCAGCGCTGATGGGGCAGAAGTCTGAGGCTGGTGCACCCCCCCCCCCACCCCCGTCACTACCCCTCTACCCCACCCCTACCCCCCTACTCTCCCACCCTCCACCTCCCACCCCACCTCACCCCCACCTCCCGGGCGCCAAGACAAGTGTCTGGATTGAGGAAGAGGGAAGCTCAGGATGCAGGGGTCCCCCCCTCCATCCCACAGCAAACTGTTCCAAGAAAAGGAGGCGGCAAATCCTTGGAGAAGAGCTTGCAGCTGCATGGGGAGGTACTGGGGGGACTTCATCAGCCCCGTCCCCCACAGCACGCTCACACATGGCGAAAGAGGGAGCCCAGCAAGAAGAGGCAGGGCTCCCGCTCCAAAGCACCCGTGCGTTCCCGGGAAGGCCAAGGCCATACTTCCTGCCCTCTCTGGAGGCAGAGTGAGGGCGGCCGCCACCCACACAGCCAGGGAGGAGGGTGAGGTGGGAGCACAGCTTATTTGCGACCAAGACTCTCAGGGAGGAAAGAGGGAAAAGATGAGGTGCAAAGTGCCAGAGTGGAGGGGCTGCACCCTGGGGAGAGGCTTCCTGGAGGTGGGGAACGTGGAGCAGAGCCAGGAAGGGGGCAGGTGCCCCTCGGAGACCGGCAGCCCAGGGAGGGTAGGAAAGGGGGAGCATGTGTCCCTGCTCCCCAGAGCCGTCACTGGCTGTCATCAGGAAAAGGGGTGTCATAGGAAATGAGGGGCTGCATCCACCTGCAGAAAGTGCCCCTTTTTTTCTCATTGGCACACGGCACCAAGCAGGCCAGGAGAGGCCCTGAGCCCCATCCAAGGAGGGCTAAGCGAACCCCACGCTCCCACCACCTCCAACAAGCAGCCCTCTGTCCGCCCCCCGCCAGGTATGAAGAGGAGATCTCCAAGCGCACGGACATGGAGTTCACCTTCGTGCAGCTGAAGAAGGTACCGCGCCGGCCCTGGGTCCTCTTCCCGGCCAAGCCCCAAGCAGGGCCCTCGGCGGCACGTTCCGGGCCTCAGACGGACGCCCGGATAGGAACCTGTCCTCACCCTGCTATTCTCCCCCGAGCCAGGTCCCCCCTGGGGTTCGCCCTATCTCACCCGGGAAGCAGAGACCCCCCACCCCCACATCTGCCCCGGGAACCCCCGTCCCTCTGCCCCTCTCAGCACTGCTCCCACCCCCAGGACCTGGACACAGAGTGTCTTCGGCGGACCGAACTGGAGACCAAGTTAAAAGGCCTGCACGGCTTCGTGGAGCTGATGAAGACCATCTACCAGCAGGTGAGGGCAGGGCCCGGGGCCCGCTGAGCCCAGAGCTAGCAGCCCTTGGCGCGGGCCGCCGGGGCGGGCAGGTGTCCGCACTCACAGCCATACCCGGCTTCCGAACCTCTTCCCGCGCCGCTCTCGCCGGCCCGCTGGTCCCGTCGTCACTCCCTGCACGGAGCCTGGTTGGGGCCCCCCGAGGCAGCCCTCTCAGGGAGGACCAGGCCTTGGGGTACCTGCTGAGGGCATGCAGGGGGGCTGCCGCCAACTCTCAGGAGGTGGCCCGAGGCGGGGAACCAGGGGGCCTTGAAGAGCCCTTCTCACTGCGTTCTTCTCTCCACTCCCCGGTCTAGACCGAGGCACCGCGCTCCAGCTCTGACAGGCCCGCACGCCACCTTCCCCGTCCTGGGTGAAGGCAGGAAGGCCTATAATCTCGTGTTCCCAGACTACACTAGCTTCTCTGGGAACAAAAACAATGCAATAAATACTTAGGGACACGTTCTCACGAGAAGGTGTCCCGACGTCCTCGGTGGAGCCTGGCCAAGGAGGCCTAGCGCGCCCCAGTGCAGTCAGCAGAGGGCCCTGCTGCCCCTGCCGGACCTCTCCCCGGCCCGCATCCCGGCATCCTTTGGGATGTGTGTCCCCTTTCCACATCCCCAGTTTCTGGGTAAGGAGGTATGGGGTGCTGCTGAGTTCAGCTGTGAGCCGGCAGGTCCATTGTTGGGGTGACAGGGCCCGGGACCCTGTGTGCTGCCAACAGCTGGTGCCGAGCTTCAGCCACACAGCCACGGTCAGGGTAGGGGTCAAAGTCACCACCGCGATCAGAAAGTTCTGCTAAGGTGGCCCTTGAGGCAGTAAGCCTTTCCGGCAGCGCCAGCCCCAGCCGGGTGTCCCGGGCCTGAGTCCATCTGTGACCGCGGGAGGGGGCCTGGCGGTGAGCCTGACCAGGCACCACGCCCACAACTGGCCTGAGAAGTGGGTTCAGGGTGTCTCTGCCAAACTCTCTGTGAGCCGGTGGGGGCCAGCACACGTCACCAGGGCCAGCATTCCGGATCTGTGCCCCACACTGCTCACACACATCTCAGCTGGCCAGAGCCCAAGCTTCAAGCCAGGACAGAGGCCCTGCGGGTGTGAAGACCCAGCGGGAGGGAGGCCGGGCCTACCCAGGGACAGAGCTGGGCACTGCCCGGGGCACACCCACAAAGCCCCCAGGTCCCAGCAGCCCACAGCTTTGTAGCCTGTGACCGCCAACCCTGACTAGCTTTTTTTTTTTGACCATTTCCATAAGTCTGGGCAAGTTTTTTCTCCTCTCTGTACCTCAGTTTCCTCATCTGTAAAAGGGGGAGAGTAACATCTGTTAAAGGGGGAGAGTAACAGTTCTGCACTGACACTGCAGAAGTAAGAGAGGCAGGCAAAGCGCCAGCTCTCAGGAGGGCACAACTAGCAAGAGGGGACAGGGAACAAGCAGGGATTTACCTGAACAGGAGCGACAGAGGGTGACAAGTGCTGTCATGCCAAAAAACTGGGTGACAGGAATCAAATCCCAGGACAAGGGGCATCTCACAGATGGTGCGCGCTATGGAGAAGGCCCGATGGGGAAGGTCCAGTCTAGAGGAGGCTGCGGTAGAGGGAGGAGCTGTCCAAGGCGCCCAGGCAGAAGCGAGGGGGATGCAGCTGTGGCTGCAGCAGTCTGAAGGAGGGGCAGCCCTGTGTCCCTGGAATTTATTCTGAGTCGGGGGGCAAAGGGCCAGGGAGCATCCCCCAGAGGAGTGCAGGGGAGGGGCATGCAGTGTGGGTGAAGGGTAGTAGGGTTGTGGTCTGGTAGTTTGTGCTGCCACCAACTTGCAAAGAAGGGGTGCATGTGTTGAAGTGTGGGTGCTCTGCACCACTATAGCAACTGTGAGGACTTTGGGGGGCAGTGAGCAGCAGGTGGTGTTGAGACAAGAGGTGTGTCTCTCTCCGTCCATCACCCTTTAAGCTGGCACTATGTACTAGAAATAGAATGCCAGCCACGTGTGGAATGTTAAGTTTTCTAGCAACCACATTTTTTTAGAGACAGAAAAGGAAAGAGATATATTTTTATTTCACTCACATATCCAAAGTGTAATCATTCAACATAGAACCAATATTTTTTTTTAATGGGCTATTTTTTAGTTATTCTCTTGCCTATATGTCCTAGAAAACAGCCTCCCCTGGAGCCGCTGGCCATGGGCTGTCAGGGGCGCGTGACACACCGCAGCCTGCCAGGCAGCCCCTTCACCCCTCAGCTCCCGGGACACGGGCTGGGAGAGGACAAATGCTCCCCCCAGCACCCACGACACATTCCAGCTCCCAAGTGCATGTGGGGCCTGGCTGCATCCAGCCAGAACGCCACGTGCCCCACCCATACACTCTGGTTCCAGGGAGATTAGCTATGGAATCTGCTGACAACCCCCTGCAGCCAGGCACACCTCCTGGGATGCCCATCCCTGCACAGAACCTGGTGCGTCTAAGCTGCCTCCGTGCCTTTGCTGAGCCCCAGGAACGCTGCCTTAGCAACAGGCTGCTCTGTCTGCTGCCAGCCACAACTATGGCATTCTAGCTACTGTTCACTGAGCACCTACTAGATTCCAGGCACGGTACTAAGCATTTTCCAGACCTAATCTTGGTTAATCCTTAGCCCAAAGACATGCGGATAACAATTAAGAGAGCACCAACCTTAACGCAGCTTGGATTTGAATCCTGGCTCAGTAATGGCGTGAGCTTGAGCTGGTTCTTTTCCCTCTGTGTGCCTCGATTTGCCCATCTATAACGTGGGGAGAATAATAGTACCTGGCTCAATGACCTGTCGTGACATGTCCCAAAACACTCAGAGCCATATCTGGCATCATGAAAGTATTAAATAAATGTTAGCTGTTCTCAGTTCAAGAATTAGATCCATTTTACAGATGATAAAACCAAGGCTCAGAGAGGTTTCAAAACTTGGCCAGGGTTATCCAGCTACTGAGAGGTGGTGATATTCTTAAGCAGCAGTAAGTGGCCCCTCAGAGTCACTGACCTGGGGGTCACACATATGGCAGGCTCCCAGGCTCTTGCTCCTGGGAGAAGCTTTAAGCTGTTCTGTGGCTTACCTCTCGCCAACTTGGGGGTGCACAGCCTCCACAGGGCCCACCCCACTGTGGCACTTCCACCCACACCAGCCAGCATTGTTATACCCTCTGCCGCCGGGGGATGGGCATGTCAGAACAGGTCTGCATATGTTCTAAACCCTCCATTTCCTGCTTCTGTTTACCAAGCTTGAGCTTACCCTGCTCTTCTTTCCAGAAAGGATCTGATGGGGTTGTCCCACCAGCTAGGTTTCCACCATCCTTTGCCCTGCCGGGGAAACTGTCCGGATACAGGGTATTCTGAGGGTGCCTTGGCCTGTAGCAGATGCCAGATTCAGCCAAGGAAGCCCCAAAGCTGCACCTCTAAACTGTCTAGAGCCTGGGCCTGGTTAGGATGTCAATTTCATGTGGGGAGCGTCAGGCTGTGAAGGTGCCCAGGGCAGCAAGGTAGGGCGGCGGCTGAAGACACCATCTACCTTACTCTGGCATAGGTCTGGCCCTTCCCTTGCTTTTGCCTGCAGATCTAGGGCAGCTTGCCTCTGAGTTTAGGGTCCTGCCTAGAGATCTGGAGCAGCTTGCCTCTATGTTTAGGGTCCTGCCAGATCCAGGATGGAGGCAAGATGCCCCCCAGAGGGGCTTCAAGATGCTCACTGCTGCCAAAGCTCCCTTCCCAGGAGCTGATCCTCCAAACCAGGACGCTAGTGGCAGCCTCACCTCCTGGCTCCACAGCCTCCTGCACAGCTGCTGAGCCATCCCCACCTGCCACCCACAGCCAGAGCGGCATGGCTGCAGGCCAAGGCACCAGCCTCTGCAGGCAGACGCCACAGGCTCAGCCATAGTCTTGCTACGATAAAGACAGATGGAGGACCAGGCAGGGCCAGAAGTCAGAAACCAGGGCCAGAATAAGGTCATGAGACCAAAAGCTGAGCAAAAGCTGAGCAAGCGCTGAGGCCTCCAGATCCAGCTGCTGTTTGCAAGAAATACAGGGGGCAGAGAAGCATGTTAGACAGCAGCATCCAGTCAAACCCAGACTGTGGCCATCACGACAGGCCCCAGCAACACAGTATTTGCAATATGAAAAATTGCAAAAAGAAAAAGTGGGGGGACAGAAATGGAGGGGATATCTATAGAATAAGAGAGACTTAAAGACATGTGGACCAATTACAATGTATGGGCCTTATTGGGATCCTGACTCAAGACAGTGTGTGTGTGTGTGTGTGTGTGTGAGAGAGAGAGAGAGAGAGAGAGAGAGAGAGACAGAGAGAGAGAGTCAGAGAGAGTCAGAGAGAGTCAGAAAAAAGAATACTAACCAAAATTTAGAGGCTGAGATAGGGGTCAAATGTAGAGGTGAATGTGCTGTCTGCACCCATGTCCTCCCTCCCTTCCCTGGCTGGCTCCTCAGCCACCTGACTCACTCTGCCCACGCCCTGTCGCACGCCCTCCCCATGGGCAGCTCAGGCCTGGCTGCTGCCGAGCACCTCTGAAAGTGCCAGGGCTGAGAGCAGGCCTCCTGCAGCCCTTTGTGACGACCCCTTCCTCTCTACAAAGTCCCGCGCAGCTCTGGCCCGAGAGCTGTCAGGTTCAGCCATGACAGAGAGACAGACAGAGCCTCCCTCACACTAAAAGAGCTGAGCAGAGGCACCAAGGCCCTGGAGTCCCCCTGCACTCCGCTGCCCAGACCCCTCCCCTCAGGGTCCTGTGAGACTGACTTGGGGCCTATGAGGATGCGAGCGAGGATATCCAGGAGGTGCTGAGCACACACCCTGGCCTGTGACGAGCCCCCAGGAACAGGAGGGACTCCAAAGGGTGGGCTGGCCCTCTCCAAGCAGAGGACAGAGAGGAGGGAGGAGAGGGATCCTAAAAGCTATTGGATGAAGACTGCAGCTGAGTCCTGGCAAGCCCTCCTCCTGATGGCCAGTCCTGAAGCCACTTCTGCCTGGGCCCTGGCAGGGGTGGGAGGGCACATGTGTCAGCCTCTAGGCCCCCTGCCCCTCATCATTCACTGGCTTGCATTCCATTTACCCAACAACTGAGAGACACCCTTGCCGGACTCAGAGGCCCAGAGATGAAGACAGCCCCGCTGGCTCCTCAGGGAGTCTCCATGGGGGAGGCAGAGCTGCCAGTTCTGCTCATGGCAGACCACTAAGCAGAGGCCTGGACATCCTGGGTCTTTTCCCCATCAGCCAGGACGAAGGTGCCCCTCACCCCGGCCCCCAGAGTGTCCAACAGTGTAGAGTCAGGGACACTGAAGAGGAGTAAGGCTGGTAGGATGAGCCTCTGGAGCCAAGAGTCCCTCCCTGGAGAGGCCAGTGGGCGGGTGAGCAGGGCCAGCTTCTCCCAAGAGCCCACGCTGGGATTCAGGCAGGGAGGCACTACCCTTGGATCTCTCCAGGGAGGCAGGAAGGGAGTACCTGCCCTCCACTTCCTGGGGGATGAAGGGATTATGGGGCCTGTGGATGGCTGAGGGTCCTAGTGGCCCCCCATCAGCCCTGAGACCCCTATGTCTGTGCATGGCCAGGAACTGAAGGACCTGGAAGCCCAAGTGAAGGATGTGTCGGTGACCGTGGACATGGACAGCCGCTGCCACATCGACCTGAGCGGCATCGTGGAGGAGGTGAAGGCGCAGTACGACGCCATTGCGGCCCGCAGCCTGGAGGAGGCCGAGGCGTACTCCCGGAGCCAGGTCTGGGCCTGACCGCGGTGGGGGCAGCAGGCAGGGGGGCTCACTGGTGATGGCTAAGGGCCTGTAGCCCTGGGTGCTGAGAGTGCACAGGAGACATGGGGAACACGGGGCAGCACTGGGGGGCGGGTTGGGGGGTACAGCCCAGTAGTTGGCTCATAGGCAAGTGTGGAGAATGGCAAGCCCAGCACCATGCCAGCCCCAGAGGGTGATGGGCTGGGGAGAACAGCTTCCGCCCCTGCAGAAGTTCACAGGGCGCTACCACCCAGAAGGTCAGGCCAGGTGAGGGCACAGTCCAGTGCACTAATCTAGGGCAGCCAGGAAGAGGCCACTCATAGAGGGACCTGGTGCGGCTGGTGTGGGAGCAGCGGGCTTCCGAGGAGGTGGGGCTGAGTGGGGAGGAGAGAGCAAAAGCTTCCCCAAGGAAGGGGCTTCAGGGAGGGTCACGAGAGCTGCCCCAACCTCCCCTCTCGCCCCCCAGCTGGAGGAGCACGCGGCCCGCTCTGCTGAGTACGGAAACAGCCTACAGAGCAGCCGCAGCGAGATCACTGACCTCAACGTGCGCATCCAGAAGCTCCGATCCCAGATCCTCTCCATCAAGAGCCACGTGAGTATCTGGGGGACCCACCTGGGGGCAGGGCAGGGAGGACAGGAACTTACACATGTACACAGTCACGTGTGAGCACCCGCAGGAACTGACTGAGTGACCCTGAGCACCTCTGTGCCTCAGTTTCCCCGCCTGCGCCAGCTTGTAGCAGGACAGCCTCCAGAACAATGCTGCCCTGAATGGAAAACTGGGACAGGCCCCTCTGGGGGCTAGTACCTCTCTTGGGTGGCCCTCAGAAAGTGTCTGCTGAGATCTAACTGAACTCCCTCTTGCTGCAATGCAACCCATTACCACCCCCAGAAATGTTGCTGCTTATCCCCATCACCCCACACACATCCCCACCAAGGGCAGAGGTGGGCCCTGGCCCATCCCACCCACTGACCCTGTCCCCCCGTGCTCCTGGCTGCAGTGCCTGAAACTAGAGGAGAACATCAAGGTGGCCGAGGAGCAGGGTGAGCTGGCCTTCCAGGATGCCAAGGCCAAGCTGGCACAGCTGGAGGAGGCCCTGCAGCAGGCCAAGAAGGACATGGCCCGGCAGCTGCGCGAGTACCAGGAGCTCATGAACACCAAGCTGGCCCTGGACATCGAGATCGCCACCTACAGCAAGCTGGTGGAGGGCGAGGAGAGCCGGTGAGGGGTGGGGCCGGTGGGCGGCGTGGGGCCAGCAGGCGGGGCTTGCGGAGAGGGAGGATGGAGGACCAGGCCTGCACCAATCAGCCTCCCTCTCTGCATGGCACTGCACGCCTGGCAGGCCTGGGTCTATGCCCAGACTTGACCACTTACAAACAAGGACTTGTCGCTGTCCATTTCCATCTGGAAAAACACTGGCCATAAACACGGCCCACAGTTCTGCATGCAAGTGCTTGTCACTAATGAGTTCTGGGTAAATGTTACCCATTGATGTAGGAGAGGGGGCAGAGACCCAGAGAGGACAGGCTGGTAGCCAGAGTCACACAGCAGGGCAACCCAGGGCTGGGTGGCCCTCCATGTGCCAGTCCTCCGGCCCCCAGTCCCAGGGGAGCTCTAACCACAGGTCCCCTTCGTATCTCACCATATCCATCCTCACCAGGATGGACCTGCCTTCAGCCACCGTGGTCAGCGCCACCCAGTCCAGATCCAGAACTGGTGAGTCTGCTTTGCCCTAAGAACCCACGGCGGGGAAGGGGACAGAGGATGGGGGGTCATGACCTTAAAGGCATCATTTTAAGAGACCCCCCCAACCTCCAGTCCCTTCCCTCCCCCACCCTTTGTGTTCCCTGTAGCTGCCTCCAAGTCCAGCCTCTTGAGAGCCCCCTCCCGGAAGAAGAAGAACAAAAAAGGCCCCGTGATCAAAATCACCGAGATGTCAGAGAAGTTCCTCTTGCAGGAGTCAGAGGCCTCAGAGTAAGGGGGCCGGACGCCAGGAGCCCCAGCTCACTCCCGCTGCAGCAGGAGGGACTTAAGCTAGACTCAAGAAAGCACCTTGAAGCCTTCTGCCTGGGAGGGGAGGCAAGCCTGATCCCAAACCGAGAAGAGGAGGGTTCTAGCAACTGCTTTTCTGGATGTGGGTTGCGGAGGGTGGGAGAGTCACTTCACTCCTTATCGGTATCTCACTGATACCGCCAACCTCTGGCCAGGGCTTTTCCTGACCAGGTAAACCAGAATTGGGGGCAGGTTTGTTTCCACCTCCTCACTCCTCTGAGGTTCCTCCCTGACAGAGGGCTCTGATCCAAGTCCCTTTGACCCTTTGCCCGACCATCGCCTTATTCTCACATCTCAAGCCTTGCCTAGCTTCTGCCTGGGGACTGAGATCAGTGCCCAACCTCACCAGCCAGCCACGGCCCAGGAGCTGTGTGGGCACCCTCCCCGTATCTGGAGTTACTGGGGAGGCTGGGTGCTGAGGACCCCTGGCTTTCCTGCATCACCTAGGCCCCCCCAGAGACCTGACAGTATTAGGGAGTGAGGAGGCACCCAGGGTGTTTGGGACCTGAGCCTGGGCCTCTGACATCAGCTCGACACACCTGCCCCTGTTCCTCCTCCTGCGGGTCCCTCCCAGCCGGGCACAGTCAGAAAGGAGCACGCCGCCTCCGCCAGCTCCCAGCACCTTCTCCAGAAGCTATTCTTGCCATGATGAACTCCCCAGAGGGAAGCTGGATGGCAGCCTGGACCAGACAAGAGACTCAGACTCTCCTTGTCCTCCCTGCATCCAGGGGTTCACCACGCTATCTGGGATCTGAGCTCCCTGCCCTCCCACCCCAGTATTTCCTAGCCTGAAACTGCATTTGGTACACCAGGTCCTAGAGACTCCTAGCCCAGCCCTGTCCTGAAACCCCAGGCCCATCTCCCATGAACCCCACTTGGTACCCATCAGGCCAAAGAGACTTTGCATTCATTGGGGAGCTCAGGAACACCCCACGCCCGGCCCTCCCCCTCCATGCCCACTCCCGTCTCCAGTGGGGCCATGAAGAAGGCATAGTCCAAGCAGATCTGGGAGCTTCTGAGCCCGGGGGACATGCTGGGGAGCCCCAATGACAACCTTTAAAGGGCTCAACCAACAAGAAGATATGGGGCTGAGGGGGCACCCCGCCTTCCAACTCTTGGCTCTCATCTTTGGGGCTGGCAGCTCCAGCCTCCCGCTCAGCAAGCCACCTTCTCCCCTCTCCTCTCCCCACCTGCCCTTTGTCTCCCCTCCTCTTCCAGCCCCATCTTTGCTCCATTGTTCTAGTTCATCTCATTTTCTAGGCCTGGGGGGGGGGGTGGGGGGGTGGGTGCAAAACCCAGGCCCCTCCCAGCCTCAGGTCCTCCCGGCCTGTCGGGGGCACTGAAGGGCTACGGGCCTCTCGGAATGGAGGGAGCCCAGACATATACTCACCTCTGAAGTCCCAAAAGGGTGCTGATTGCTGCTTTTTCTCCAGCTATTTATTGGTTTCCAAGGGAGCAAATCCTCAGTTGGGATACAAGATATATAAAGTATATATATATATATATATTATTTTTTCATAACTTATGTGGCTTTAACTTATTGCTTCCCTTCCTGTCCCTGCATGACCAGTGCTATGTATGACGCTCTCTGGATGGATAACATCCCAGCCACGCCACCCAGCTGGCTGGCCACCTTGGGGCAATGCCCCCTTAGCCTACCAAGGAATGAATAAAGTGCTGAGATTTATCCATGGATAAAGCTGTGTGTGTTTTTATCTCCCCTCTCGGGATTGGTCAATCACTGGTCAACCGGGCTGACCACAGGCCTTCGGGAATTCTCCAATTATGGGGGAAGGGAGCCAAGAGGCCAGGAAAATTTTTGGACCAATGCAACTTGGACACAAAAAGGTCTCCTGTCCCACCACCCCACGAAGAGACTGTACAGTGGGGACCCGTGTTCCTGGCACCTCCTGACACGTGCAGGCGTCATGCGAACCGCCTGAGCCAGCAGACGGGACTCGGCGGGGGGTGGCAGGGATCCTTCTCAAGCCTGACTGTGGGGGTTGGCACAGCCCTGAATATATTCTGATGGGTGTGGGCCCCATCCTGCCACATCAAATTCTAGATCAACAAACAAGAATTGAGAGCCTTCTCCAAGCCCAGCCCAGCATTATGACACCTAAGCTTGTTCCCCACCCTCCGCCACAAGAAGCTCGCGGTCGGGTTGGCTGATGAGCCGTCTACTCAGGACAGCCAGCCTGGGCTTCCCAGCCAAGCGCAGAAGGGGGAGCCGTGGATGGTCAGCCAAGGGCAGGCTTGTGGAGGAGACCAGACAGACGGAAGGCAGAAACAGCCTTAGAGGGGAGGCAGGGACATCGGAAGATCCCTACTGGCTCACCCACTCACTGGCAACAAGACCTGGGACCATGGAGCCTCAGTTTCCCCATCACCTTCCCCACAGACCTCACAGGGCACGTGGAGATCTGCAGGAGAGCCCCTACTCCTTCCTATCGGGAAGGCCCCCGCTCTTGCTTCTGGACTGTAACAGCCCAACAAGCGTGAAGGATTAATGGTGGTGTCATTATTGTTCTTAAATCAGATATGGATTCGGGAGGCCACATACAGGAAATGGGCCTTGGGCGGCTGACTCAGGGCCCAGCACAGGCAGGTCGCTGGTCGGAGCCCGGACACTCGGGATTATCCATTCTCGGGAGAACTCTGAGGGGTGGGCACCACTCCCACAATTGAGGAGGAAATAAACAAACAATTAAACAAACAAACAAGCACCAAACAAACAAACAAATAAATAAATAAGGGGGTTTTTAAGACCAAAAAAAAGAAGAAAAAAATTAAAACTCAGGCGAGACTGCTGGGTAAGCCAGATCTAGGAGGGGCCTAGAGCCTTTGGTTTCTGTTCTCGTAAGTTCTGAATTGTCAGTGTCTGAGTATTAATTTGAGTTTCTGAATCTGAAAATGAATTTCACGGTCAAAAGATACGGCATAGTTGTTATTTACTTCCTTCTACTTTCTTTGAATTTATTATTTTTATCACCTTCCAACTTCTTGAGGTGAATGCTTTAAATCTCCCTCTCTCTTTTTCATGTAAGACTGAAGATCATACATTTTTAAGTTCCATTTTGACGGTTTCCTACTATTTTCATATTTTATGAATATTTATTCATAAATGTATTTTATTAGCTCCTATTTAAAATGATTTTATTCTTTGACTCATTTCACAACCTTTATTGAGCACAGACTTAGACTGTGGAGGCTCACGGAGATATGAAATTCATCAGACATTTTTCTTGATGTCCTGGATCCCCAATCCTCTACTTTCACTGAGATTTGGTTTCCTATGTCTGTGCCTTTTATCCCCAGGAGACTCAAAATTCGGGGTTGGGGGGGAAGAAGGGGGATCACAGAGGCTGACACAGCGCAAGGCCCAGAGTGAATGTAAGGTGAATGAAAGAACAGATGAGTGATCGCCACCCCAACCAAGGGCTCCTAACCTGAAGATCCCCTGACCGTTGGGCCCCCAGTGCTAATTCAGTGTCTGGCACATTGAAGGAGCGGGGTTAGCACCTGCTGAATGAATGAATGAATATGATTTCCCTGCCCAAACTCTCCCCTTTCCTGAACAGCTCTCTGGAAGGCACAAGTCTGATTCTCTGTCCGTGTACAAACCCCCTCCTTCCACCACTCCCCTGCTGCCCTCCAGAGTGATCTGATGAGCACCTGGCCCACAGCAGCACCCCTATTCTACACCAAACAAAAATAACACTCCACCTGCATTTGGCTGTCTCTTCTCCTTTATTTCTGGCCCTCCTAACCATCTGTGAGCTGAACAGGACAGGGTTGCTGCACTGGGGCCCAGAGGGGCCAACCACTTTTACCTGGTCACCCACCCGGTAAAAGACAGCATCTGGCTTCATGGAGCCATTTTCACCTGCAGACTGCCTGCCGCAGAAGTGGTTCAAATGACAAACAAGGAGGGTGACGGAGAGGCTGCAGTCCCCAATTTAAAACAGAAAGGCAATGGGGTGAAGCAGGTGCCCAAAGGTGGGTGCCCAGACTGACCCCTCAGGCTCAGAAAGGAAGATGGGGCTCTTTTTGTACCAGCTCTAGCAAGTTAGTTCCTTGGTGCCTCAAAGTAGGGCCTGAGTTCTGGGGGTGACCTATGCCACCTCCCCTCTCACTCCTGGTCTGTCTAGTCAGAGGAAAAACAGCTGGAAGGGAGACTTGGTCCCTGTGTTGCAGAGGCTCCTGGGGCTGTTGGGGAGCCACACAGAAACAGAGACAGCGAGAACTGGGCAGAACTCAAGACCTCAGAATTGGTTACCAACAAAGCAGATGAGGGACATGAGTCCAAGAGGGCTTCCTGGAGGAGGGGCGGGAGGGGGCTTGAGAAAAGGGCCTATTAGAGCTGGCAAAGAAGAAGGGGATGGAAATGGCCTGGGGAAGGGAGGGGAGGGGAGCAGATCTGCTCAGCTTCCAACCTGGACAGAGAGTGTCATCTGTGAGTCACAAGGCATGAGCTGGAGAAGCCTGAGCTGAGAATGAGGAAACCTATGGCGTGACCCCCAAGCCCCCATCAGGACGTGAGCCACCTGTGTGCAGGGACTGTGGCTTCTTCAACTATGCAACCAACTATGCACGAACTGTAGTACCCATCTAACAGGATGCCCAGCACAAGTCACTTTGTCTGAAATAAAAGAGGCAGAGATGGCTCCTGCAGATCCCTCCTAAGGCAAGACCAGGACGTCCTGCTGCTCCCCCTACACTCAATCCCCGGGCAACGCGCCCAGCTGCAGAGGCAGCAGTCACGGTAACTGATACTCTGGGCTAGAAAGCAAATCCTGCGAGCTGGGTGGTCTCGCAGCCTCCAGAGATAAAGCTTACCTGCCGCACAGATCTGTTGTGAAGCTTCAAAGAGATGATGCATGATGAAAGAATTCAGCGCAGTGCCTGGTACACACTAAGTGCTTAATAATAACAATCCCTGCAAACACATGAACCTGTGAGACCTTCTCCCTTATCCCCATGGAGTTGCTACCTGCCCCCTCCCTGACCCAGGTGCCTGGTGAGGGGAGGTTAAAGGAACAACCACACCACCGGCCCCGCCTCCCGGGCACCTCCAGCACCCCCTCCGGCAGAGACCCGGGCTGAGAAACCTGTTAGGGGAGAGCTGAGGATTAAAGAGGGTTAGGGGGTAGCCCAACCCTCTTTTCCCTCTGAGAGCGGACCCCCGCCCCACAGTCCATTGCGGAAATGGCAGGTCCTGCCCCGCGAGCTCCCTGGCACCCACTGCCCTCTGCTGGCCACAGCGAGCCCAGCACCTCCTAGGACTCGGCTCTCCCCACTGCAGGAGGATGGGGAGGCAGCTAGGCTGCACTTCCCAGCCCTGAACCCTGAGCCACTTAGTTCAGATTCCAGGCCTCAACACTCAGAGCCCCCAGAGATGAAGCCAGGGGCTGCGTGGCAATCCTGCTCTCCCCGCTGCTCCCTGCCCTCCCTGGCAGGGCAAGCCCAGCGCCTTCCGTGGGGGCTGCTGAGCCTACAGGTGTTGGAGATCCTGACCCCACCCGGCGTCCACAGCTCCCAGTTCTGTCTCCTCCTCGTGTCTCACCTCAAATGTCAGAGACGCCTTCTCTGAGGGCCCGTGTAGAACGGCCCCATTAGCGCTACGCTGCTTTTTACTTATCATTGACTTAGTGCAACCTGCTTAACTTCGAGTTTTTCTTCTCCAGTGGCGCCCAAACAGGACATTCGGCACAGGGAACTGAACGTGTGGGTGCTAAAGGCTCAAAGGACAAAGGCTGGGAGAGATCAGCAAACACAGGAGGCAACACCACCCCTGGGGCTGAAAAGCGCGGCCTCACCGAAGCCCAGGAGCTCACGTGGGGACCCCAGCAGCTGGTGCACAGACATGAGGCCAGGGCACTGGAGGGAGTGAAATCTCGTCCTTCTATTGGGAACGCTTGGGTCCTAAAGACGGGGTGATTGTTCTGACAGGGCGGCCAAGGCCTGAGGGGGCTTCCAGAAGGCGGACTGCACAGAGCCCCAGGTGGAGAATGTGGAGCACCCACAAACCCCCTCCTGGAGCCCCTCTGTCCAGAAATGTCCCCCAAAAATCAACAAGTGGAATCACATCAAGTTAAAACGCTCTGCAGAGCAAAAAAAAAAAAAAAAGGCAACCTGCTGACTGGAAAAAGCACTTGCAAGTCCTGTCATTGATAAGGGGTAATAGCCAAAATATAAAGAACTCGAACAACTTAATAGAAAGAAACAAAAATCCCACAATATGGAAAGAAACTGAGCCC